TTGAATTTTGGCAGTTCCTTGTCGATGTACTGCTGAACTGTTTTTGAATTATCTTCAGCAAAATTTTTACTTGTGTGTGGTATTGATATTGTTCAATAATTTCCACATTCTGTTGGATCACCTTTCTTTGGAGTGGGTACAAATATTCATCTCTTCCAGTCGGTTGGCCAGGTAACTGTTTTCTAAATTTATTGGCACAGATGAGTAAGCACTTCCAGTGCTGCATCTGTTTTTCTCAGTTTGTATTTCGTCAATTCCTGGAGCCTTGTTTTTCACCAATGCCTTCAATGCAGCTTGGACTTCTTCCTTCAATATCTTCAGTTCTTAATCATATGCTACCTCCTGAAATGGCTGAATGTCGACCAATTCTTTTTGGTAGTGAATCTGTGTATTCTTTCCATCTTCTTTCGATGCTTCCTGTGTCATTTGTTTGCCCATAGAATCCTTCAAAATTACAACTCAATGCTTGAATTTTCTCTTCAGTTCTTTCAGCTTGAGAAATGATGATTTACATGTCCTTCCCTTTTAGTTTGCTAACTCCAGGTCTTTGCACATTTCATTATAATATTTTGTCTTCGCAAGCCACCCTCTGAAATCTTCTGTTCAGCTCTTTTACTTCATTATTTCTTCCATTCGCTTTAGCTACTCTACATTCAAGAGCAAGTCTCAGAGTCTCTTCTGACATCCATTTTGGTATTTTCTTTCTTTCCAGTCTTTTTAATGAGCCTTTGCTTTCTCTATGTATGATGTCCTTGATGTCATCCCACAACTCGTCTGGTGTTCAATGCGTCAAATCTATTTTTGAGATGGTCTCCAAATTCAGGTGGGATACACTGAAGATCCTATTTTGGTTCTCGTGGACTTAATTTTCTTCAGCTTCAATTTAATTTGCATTTGAGCAATTGTTCTGCAGTTGGCCCCTGGCCTTGTTCTAACTGATATTGAGCTTTTCCATCATCTCTTTCCACAGGTGTAGTCAATTTGATTCCTGTGTTTTCCAGCCAGCAAGATCCACGTGTATAGTCGCTGTTTATGTTGTTGAAAAAGATATCTCCAATGAATCAGTTGTTGGTCTTGCAAAATTCTATCATGCAATCTCTGGCATTGTTTCTATCACCAATGTCTTACGTTCCAACTACAGATCCTTCTTGTTTCCAACTTTTGCATTCCAATCACCAGTAATTATCAATGCATTTTGATTACAGGTTTGGTCAATTTCAGACTGCAGAAGTTGGTAGAAATAATTTCCTCATCTTTGGCATTAGACTGTTGCTGCATAAATTTGTGTAATTTGAATGCAACAGTCATATTAACAGGCCTTCCTTATAGGTATATGGATATTATCCTATCACTGACAGCGCTGTACTTCAAGATAGATCTTGAAATGTTCTTTTTCACGATAAATGCAACCATATTCCTCTTCGTCATTCCTGGCATAATAGACCATGTAATTGTCTGATTCAAAATGGCCAATACCAGTCCATTTCAGCTCACTAATGCCCAGGATATCAATCTTTATGTGTTTCATTTTATTTTTGACTTCCAATTTTCCTAGGTTCATACTTTGTACATTCCACACACCTATTAATGGATGTTTGCAGCTGTTTCTTCTCATTTTGAGTCGTGCTACATCAGCAAATGAAGATCTTGAAAGTTTTACTCCATCCATGTCATTAAGGTCAACTCTGAGGAGGCAGCTCTTTCGGCACTGTATCTGACAATGTTCCAGTGCTATCCATAAGGTTTTCACTGGCCAGTTTTTTCAGAAGTAGCCCACCAGGTCCTTTTTCCTAGTCTTAGTCTGGAGGATCCACTGAAACCTGTCCACCATGGATGACTCTGCTGGTATTTGAAATACCGGTGGCATAAGCTTCCAGCATCACAGCAGCATGTAAGCCACCACAGTATGAAAAACTTAGTGGCAAAAAGTTTTAGATGAGGGTAAAAAAAAAAAAAAAATTTGCTCTGAAGTCAACTCCAACTCATAAAGATGCCACGTGTGTCACAGAAGTATAATCCATAGGGTTTTCAATGGCTGCTTTCTCAGATCACCAGGCCTGTCTTCCAAGGCATCTCTGGATGGACTCAAACCCTCAACCTTTCAGTTGGCAGCCAAGCACTTAACGGTTTGATTCACCCAGGGATGTCAGGTGAGGGTAGAGCTAGAAACAATATTCTGAGTAGGGGGCGTATTTGTCACATTTGAAAATATGTCAAACACACCATATACTAATTATGACATACATGTATAGTAAGATACTGAAACATGGATAAGAACGATATGAACTTCAGCTTAGTGGTTTGACAGGAGAAATGTGGTCGGGGAGGTGGATATAAAGAGGGCTTCAACTATACTACGGTTTGTTTCTTAAGAGGAACAAAAAGATCTAAAGCAAATAAAAATAAATCTGTTAAAGCTGGAGGGAACTTCATAATGAAAACATATCAAAAGGGAAGGGAAATACTAATTTGTGGACAGTGTAGCTATTTTACGTTTGTATAATGTGTTTAAGTATTAACAACTATTTACATAGTATTAGGTATTATAAATAATCTAGAGATGACTTAAAGTACATAAGAGGATGCGCATAGGTTATATACAAACATCATGCCATTATAAGGAGCTCTGGTGGTGCAGTAGTTAAGAGCTACGGCTGCTAACCAGAAGATCGGCAGTTTGAATCCACCACCTGCTCCTTGGAAACCCTATGGGGTAGTTCTGTCCTACACGGTTGCTGTGAGTTGTAATTGACACCACAGCAACAGGTTTGGTTTATTGATTGAGCATCCCTGGGTTTTATCTGTGGAGGGTCCTGCAACAAATCCCTGGGGATACTGAGGGACGACTGTACTTTTATTCCTCAGGACTATTAAGTACCTATATTGACCACCTTTGTTCGTTGTAGAACTATAAACAGGATCAAGAATTTGGACCATCAGTCAATTACCAAAAATAAAAAAAAAATACTTGGTTTAAATAATCATTAAACCTTAAAGGTCCTTACAGAAAAAGATTTCCAAAGTCACACTGTTGTCCAGCCTTGACGGGCACATAATCCATTTCCATAATTCAAGAACCTTCTCTTGATAACACACACTAAAAAAATTGTTTAGAAATGATTGTTGTTTTGTTCAGGAACTGAGATTCTTTATGAGCAGTAATTTATTTCTTCATGTCTATGGGGGATAAAAGGCAAAAAAAAAAAAAGAAAAAAAAAGTCCTTGAAATTTTTCACTAAGAAATATCAGTACTGCCTTTGAAGTGGAAATCAAAGACAACACAAATTATCACACTTTTGTGCGAAGGCGTTATTTGACTTAGCATAGTAGATTACAAAGGTCAAGAGCACGGGCTCTAAAGCCAGACTAAAAAACTGCCATCGATTCCGACTCACAGCAACCGTATAGGACAGAGCAGAACTGTTTCAGAGGGTTTCCAAGAAGCGGTTGGTGGATTCCAACTGCCAACCTTTTGGTTAGTAGCCGAGCTCTTAACCACTGCACCACAAGGGTTCCAGAGCCGGGCTAGCTGGATCCAATTCCTGCCTCTGATACATACAAGCTGTGTAAACCTCATTAAACTTGTCTTCCCTCCATACAATGGAGACAGGAAAAGTTATCTACCTACCTCCTAGGATCTGAGGATTAAATGAGTTGACACAAAACTAATGCTTGGCACATAATAAGCATCTTGAAAACCGTTTTACACTTTGAGGAATATATGATGGACAAAAATATTTCAGGTGGGTAAAGAGAGTCACTTTTGATGTCAGCAAAGTGACAAAACGGAATCCTATAAAATTTTTCTCTCAAAATCGTTCTTTACTCTTATAAAGACATCCACATTTATTTACAAGTTCAAGCAATACTCAACTTCACAAAGCTTTTGTATTAGGCAATACCTAAAGGTGACACTTCCAATTTTGTTTTTAAAATCAATAAACAAATGAATTCTGAAAACGCAACTTCCCTATATTATGGGACTTAAAGTCTTACTTAAAACTATTTCACATCTGGCTTTGGCATTTAAAAGCCTGTAAAGCAGTTGTTCTGGCTGCAGATTAAAATGACGAGAGCACAAAAAGAAAAACTACAACATCTTCACCCTAGACCAGTTAATTCAGTATCTCTAGGATGTTGTTCAGACAAGTTTTTTTTAAGCTTCCCAGACAAGCCAATGTCCTCCCATAGTTGAATACCTCTGCTAAAAACAAAACTGACAGTTACCTTAACAGTTTTCTGCACCTTTTTTCAAGAGGGGTGTTATATATAGGAACAACCAGGACACACAGAGTTTTAGCACAAAAGAAATGTGAAAACAGGAGGGCACGGCTAACTGGAAATGAACGGAGGCCAGGCCAATAAAGCTTTACTTTCCAAATAAAATTTCATAACCTTAAGTAAAAAAGTGACCATAAAAATAAAGCAAAACATTTTTGCAGTCACTTAAATCATACTCGGTTCTTAATACGAGAAATGATTAAGTGAAAAAACTAGGAACAAGCTTATAAATCCAATTTATGATTATGCTTAAAAAGAGTAATAACATAAAGACATTAATCACAAATATTCATAGTAATTGCTGCTGCTAGACGGCACCATTTTTTGAACTTTCTAAAATGTCCACCCAGCATTATTTCTATAATCAGCAATGTGGGAAGGGGAAGTTAAAGTTTCCTTTTCCTTAAGGAGGGTTATGTTCAAACTTATTTGTACCTACCCCTAGCAGGCTGATCATTCTCGAGATGTCACGATTTTTGCACAGAACTCACCAGAAGCATGGGTTCTACTAACAGGGTGCTCTCAATGTGGAAACAGAAAACCAGCTGTCCCCATTACCCACTAAAAAGTCCTTATTAACCTCAAGGTCACTGAGCAAATGACTGTGCCATCAGAAGTTAGGTCCCAGTCGATAAATACACATAAATACACAAACCATCATAATCTGAAATTCTCTTTTTGTTTGTGTTTTGGAAAGGAAAATGACACTTCACCATATTTTTAAACAGTTTATTCACGCAAAGTTTTAATTTCCCTTGAGAGCTATAAAATAACGATCATTTACCCTGTTTTGTTGTTTCTCCATATGGTAAGCATTGATCTTTCCCTAATTCTCATAAATGTCATTTTTTAAAAAAAAACTATGCACACACCAGTATCACTGAATAGGAATGTGCCAAGCTCACAAAGGAAAACTATTACTTACATGTTTCTAAAGTCTCAGATCACAATTTGGGGATATAGCCTATAAGAACTGTTTTTACCTTATTATTAAAACTCATTTTCAAAGTAGTGTATTTTGAAAGATTACAATCCAAAAGTAATTTCCATACCAGATAATATCAACTTTAGAAGAACCTGAATTAAGATACTTAAAGGAGAAATTAAGAATATGTTTTCTTTGACCAGCATTTCTGAATTTGATACGCATTTGTCTCTGTCATTTCTTTAAAAAAACAAAAAAAGTTAACATACCATATACTCAGAATACAATTCTTAAACTTGTTTCTTGTAAATACAAGAACGGGCAAAGTTAAGGTAACTTAGTTACAGAAAGAATGAAGGAAGGTAGTGCATTTAGCGTCACATATGAACTTAAGGCCTTAGTTATTTGATTGTAATTTTAGTCTTAGCAACAGTATTATTTCCCTCATGCTTACATACACAAGTAAGCAGGCAAAGCAAAAATTTCTAAACATGTAAGGAATGAAGACAATTTAATCTATATATTATCAGTCAATACAGATGTACTCTTTAAAAGTAACTGCTGGTAGTAAAATCTGATCACATTTCATATCGCAATTAAAAATAATAATAAAAATTAAGAGTCTCCTATACAATCAGAACATCTCCTGGTATGTTAAGCCCATGTATACTTCTATTCTGCAGATGCTATCGAGACTATCATCTAGCTCAAAGCCAACCACTGCATAATACATTTTGTAAAACACTTATCTAAAAATACACTGTACAGGTGACATTTCTAAACACTAAAACCAAACACATACATGACATTATTAAATAGCCTGTAAGAAAATTTCATGATAGGAAATTTCACACAGTTATTAAGCAGCATCTTGTGCTCATTATTTCAGTCATCTGTCAAATTAGGGCAATTTTTTCTACAAAGTGACCAGAAAAGACACAGCTGGAGTCAGGAGAGCATATTCTAGTTCCAGCTCTGCCTCTACCTACCTAAGAGACACGGGGAAGTTTTCTTAACCCTCATTAAGGCCTCAGATTCCTCAACAATAAAACAAAGGGGCTGAACAAAATGAATTCTAAGGATCATTCCAATAAAACGGGATTTTGCTAAATTCTTAAGAACTTAAAACTGGAAGGAAAAAAAAAAAAGAAGATAGCTATGAAATACCAAGTTTGGTACATATCACCAATAATATAGATTACAGAGAGCTTTAAGCCAAAGAATTACTAACTGCATTTATGGGATGAAAATGCAGGGCTTTTTTAGCATGCATTTCCAGTTATCAGAAAGGTAGGGAACTTTTACAATGATAGTACAGCACGAAACAGAAACGGCAGCTGCAGTAGCAGGCTAACAACAGGCAGGCATTACTTGTGTTTGTTTTTTGTCATTTTTGCACACAAGCAAGAGATTTTATAAAAGATACCACAGAGCACAATGACACAATACATGTGATCTGACAAATTTAAAACACACTTGAAATGAAAAGGCAACCAAAACACTTCAGAACATTTCACTATTTTATAAAATGTGCATGCACACAGACCTGGGCCTAGCATACTTCACTGCACCACATCAAGTCCAAAGTCCAATTTCGCTTTCAGGCAGAAGTGCCCATTTTATGAAAACCTACACCTATTTATTTTCAAGAATCAAAATTCACTTGCATTAGATTGTACTCAGTTAAAAAAATTGAATATATTTTCTCTGGTTCCAAAATTTCTCATCCTAGTACAAATGGAATAAACAAAGACAGAAGACTAAGTGCAGAAAAGTACCAGACCCTACAATGCAAATTTATACTGAAAATGTGCTTCATGGCGTTAACAGACAGATGTGCAAAGGATGAAGTTATTTTTCACAAAGAAAATCCCCAAGGTTGTTCGGTAATAACAAATTTCCATAATGGAAATCTGAGTGTCAAATTGGGCAAGAAAAAACACCCACTTTTAACTATTACTGTGAAATGTTTCAAGTATTATGTAAGTATTTAATTCATAACATTAAAAATTAATAGGCTAGTTAAAAAGGACTCGACTAGAACAAAGGAAATTAGTCTTCCTTGAGAAGATACTAAAATAATCTAAGAATGTGGTAAATTAAACGCAGTACAGCCAAATGGCATACATACAGACTAAAATTACAGTACATTTATTCTGATGGCATGCTTATTTCACATTATCTTGAAGACAAACTGATTATGATCTTCCAAAATACCAAAATCAACTTGAAAGTTTATCAGTTCTTTTCCTTAATACAATGAGGACTTTTTTAATTACAAACACTAATATCTGCAAGGGTTTCAATGTGAGAAAGAATGTGCCCGATAAATTTCAAATGACCATACAGTGGCCTCCCTGACATCCCCGTCTAATGATACAACAGACACAAACAAGCTATCGAGCAAGAATCTGTTAACAGTTTTTATTTTTTTTAATTGTTAAATACCATGGGACAGGATTGTAAGGATGAAAAACTCAGTCAACAACTGCCTCACAAGGGATAAGAAAAATTCTGCCATGATATTAGCAAAGGTAAAGGACAAAATTTACACTGTAAGAGGCACCATTTCCCCACAGAATACCTCTTGGCATTTCCTGAATGAGTGGGATTAGCAATCTAAATAAATCATAGTTCAAGACGTAACAGCAACAGATAAAATTTAAAGGGATTATTAAAATAACATTTACAAGACTCTGAACAATTCTTGAACTCTTATTAAAACCACAAAGAACAATTCTTTATTTATGAATTTCATAAAGGACTGAATGTGCAACTGACATCTGCTATTGATGACCTGGTAATATACAATTTGTCCAGTAGCCGAACAGTTTGTTTTTATCGTGTTTTCTAACCGTAAGAGATCATTAAAGGCAAAGCCTATATGACGCTGTACACACAAAAAAAAATGGTCACCATGGGCCATACTACCAATGAAATGGTAGGTAAACAAATCTTTTTCTGGTCAAGAGAAAAAAAAGAAATAGCACTCTGCATGCTTCACTCTACAAGATGAATTTTCCTAGAAAGAATCCAATGAAAATGGCTGCAATTACAACAAGAAGCGAAGGAAGAGGACTGGTGACATTATCTCTGAAGGATGCAGCGGAGGTTGATCCAGGTTTATCCGAATGTGCTACCTTTCTGAGCCTTAAGCCTTCATCCTGGAAAACACACACACACAAAAATAAATAGATAAAAGAGGTTTTAGAAATAAATATCCATATACTAAGACTACTGAATCTTTGGTCAAAACAGGAGCTGAAAAGCTACAGACAGAAAGCAGATCAGTGGCCGCCTAGGACTGGGATTGGGAAGAGGGATTAACTGTTAACCAGGATAATGGAACTTCCTGGAGTGATGGAAACGTTCTAAGACTGCATTGTGGTGATGGTTACACAATTTATAGATTTGCTAAGAATCAGTGAATTGTACATTTACAATGGTGTGTTTTACGGTATGTACGTTATACCTTAACAAAGCCAATTTAAACAAAAATGGAACTGAGAAATATATTCCTAAAAAACCTGAAAAATCAGATATGGCTATATTTACATAAAAGGAAAAAAATCCCACTGAAGTTAATACAGGCATACCTTGGAGATATTGCAGGTTCAGTTCGAGACTACCACAACAAACTGAGTATCACAATAAAGTGAGTCACACGAATTTTTTGGTTTCCCAGGGCATAAAAGTTATGTTTACACTATACCATATCCTATTAAGTGTGCAACAGCATTATATCTAAAAACATATATACATATATTAATTAAAAAATACTTTATTGCTAAAAAATGCTAACAATCATCTGAGCCTTCAGTGAGTTGTAATCTTTTTGCTGTTGGAGGGTCTTGCCTCTATGTTGATGGCTGCTGACTGGAAATGGTAGTGGTTGACGAAGGCTAGGGTGACTGTGGCAATTTCTTAAAGTAAGACAACAGTAAGGTTTGCCACATCAACTGACTCTTCCTTTCACGAAAGATTTCTCTGTAGCATGCAATGCTATTTGGTAGCATTTTACCCACAGTAGAACTTCTTTCAAAACTGGAACCAATCCTTTCAAACCCTGCTGCTGCTTTATCAGCTAAGTTTATGCATATTCTAAATCCTCTGTTGTCATTCCAACAATGTTCACAGCATCTTCACTTCAGGAGTAGATTCCATCTTAAGCACTTTCTTTGCTCACCCATAAGAAGCAACTCCTCATCCGTTAAAGTTTTATCATGAGACTGCAGCAATTCAGCCACATCATCAGGGTCTACTTCTAATTCTAGTTCTTACTATTTCTACCACATCTGCAGTTATTTCCTCCATCGAAGTCTTGAACCCCTCAAATTTATCCATGAGTTGGAATCAACTTCTTCCAAACTCCTGTTAATGTTCGTATTTTGACCCCTACCATGAATCACGAATGTTCTTAATGGCATCTAGAATGGTGAATCCTTTCCAGAAGGTTTTCAATTATTCTGACCAGATCCATCAGAGGAGTCACTATCTATGGCAGCTATAGCCTTACAAAATGTATTTCTTAAATAATAAGACTTGAAAGTCAAAATTATTCCTTGATCCATGGGCTGCAGAACGGGTATTATGTTAGGAGACATGAAAACAACATTAATCTCCTTGTACATCTCCATTAGAGCACTTGGGTGACCAGGTGCATTGTCAATATTTTGAAAGGCATCTTTTTTCTGAGCAGTAGGTCTCAACAGTGGGCTCAAAATACTCAGTAAACTATGTTGTGAACAGATGTGCCATCATCCAGGCTTTGTTGATCCATTTATAGAGCATGGGGAGAGTAGATTTAGCATAATTCCTAAGGGTCCTAGGATTTTCAGAATGGTAAATGAGCAGTGGCTTCAACTTAAAGTCACTAGTTGCATTAGGCCCTAACAAGAGAGTCAGCCTGTCCTTTGAAGCCAGGCACTGACTTCTCCTCTGTAGCTATCAAAATCCTAGATAGCATCTTCTTCCAATATAATGCATCTTCTTCATCTACACTGAAAATCTGTTGTTTAGTGCAGCCCCCTTCAATTATCTTAGCAAGATCTTCTGGATAACTTGCTGCAGCTTCTCCATCAGCACTTGCTGCTTCACCTTGCACTTTTCTATTATGGAGACAGCTTCTTTCCTTAAACCTCATGAACCCACCTCTGCTAACTTCAAACTTGTCTTTTGCAGCTTCCTCACCTCTCTCAGCCCTCACAGAATAGAAGAGAGTGAGGGCCTTGCTCTGGATTAGGCTTTTGGAATGTTGTGGCTAGTTTGATCTCCTATCCAGACCACTAAAGTTTTCTCCATATCAGCAATAAGGCTGTTTTGCTTTCTTATCATTTGTGTGTTCACTGGAGTAGCACTTCTAATTTCCTTCAAGAATTTTTCCTTCACATTCACAACTTGGCTGTTTGGTGCAAGAGGCCTAACTTTCAGACTATCTCAGCTTTCCACAGTCCTTCCTCACTAAGCTTAAATCATTTCTAGTTTTTGATTTAAAGTGAGACATGTGCAATTCTTCCTTTCACTTGAACACTCAGAGGCCATTGTAGGGTTATTAACTGGCCTAATTTCAATATTGTCCTGTCCCAGGGAATAGGGAGGCCCGAGAGGGAGAGAGATGGGGGAACAGCTGGTCAGTGGAGCAGACACAACACACACATTTACCAAATAAGTTCATCATCACATACGGGTGCAATTCATGGAGCACTAAAACAATTACAATAGTAATATCAAAGATCACTGATCACCAAAATAGATATAATAATAGTGAGAAAAGTCTGAAATATTGCGAGAATTACCAGAATGTGACACAGAGACACCAAGTGAGTACATGCTGCTGGAAAAATGGCACCAACAGACTTGCTCGACACAGGGTTGCCAGAAACCTTCAATATGTAAAAAACACAGTATCTGCGAAGTGTGATACAGTAAAGCGCAATAAAACAAGGTACGCCTGTATAATTATAGAAGTACATTCATGCATTTCCAACTCAGCCCACAGGATGATAAATTGGTTACACTTGTCCTAGCCCAATTAGACTAAGACTACCAGGAACAGACCTGTAGTCTGACAGTTAAACCTCGTAACTAATTAAAAATTAACTCACTACAACTAGAAAAACCACAGCAGAGGAATACTGCAGTGTTTTGCCAAAGGAATGGGAACAGGAAATTTTAATAGAGCAGTGCTTTACTAGGCTCAAAGCAAAGCAGGGCCATGTGTAAAAGAGTGAGCACCAGATATGGACTGCAAAGCAGACCCAGAATCTCCTTTCTATGGGAATTACAAATAAAGATAGATGTGAAATACTGTGTACAGAAACCCCTCATCTCAAAGCTCTGCACCTGGGCTGGAAATTGAGGTTCCTTCTCTCTGTCAAGGTGACTTAGATCCTCCAGACACAAGTGGGATGCTTTATTCTACTGCTAGGGTTTCACACAGCAAAGTTTCTGACAGTCTATGATTTTAGAGGAGAAAATTTTTAAGTAAGAAAGCAGTAGACATATTCCTAACCACAGTATGACCCTGGGAAAAATGCCTGCCAACTCTGCAGCTGGCTTTAAGCATGTCTGTTATATCAGCCTGATGACCAGCAGGGCAGATTTTTACTTCCTTGGCCAGAGCTACTTTTTATTTTCTCACACTGATTCCTCTAGTGAGCTTATAAATAAACACCACTACAAGGGTACCCTGATGGCATACTGTCTTATTTGCATTGTTGGATTTTCTGGTTTGTTATGTTTTCTGTCTTATGCTATGCAGAGAAAGCAGTGGTTCTCAATACCAGCTACACCTCACAAACACCTGGACAACTCTTTAAAAATATAAATGCACAGGTTCTAGTCCCAGTGGTTCCAGTTTTCTAGGTTTGACGTCATCTGTATTTTTAAACAGCTCACTGGGTAATTCAGACGCACAGTTTGGACTCTCACAGGGTGAGAGGAATAAAAAGGAGCGGTGATCACAGATGAGCAAGAAAGTTAATCTGGCAACAGATTATGATGGGCCTTATATATGAAATGTTAAGGAACCTGGTCTTCAAGGTTCTTTTGTGTTTTTTTAAAAAACAGCAGAATCCTTTTTCCACTGAAATCTTACCTAGAACATCAGTATACAGAGAGTACAGTCTCCCTTCACCTAGCTTGCTGTCCACTCTTCCTACTTTCCAGCACTGCCCCACCTGCCATTCTGATCTTTTCCACTTCTCCCCTCCCCGCCAAGAGTGAATGGCTGTTTGAATAAGGCCAGTGGGCATTCTAAGGAGCACATCTTTCATGAAAGAATGTAACTATGGAAGTCATGGCATCCTGAAAAATCCAAGGTGTGTGTGTGTGAAATGGAAATATTTTTTCTACTAACCAGAGTGCCAAGGGCAGAGAGCCCAAAGGGGTCTTACAGGATGAGACAGCCAAAGAGGCTAGATCAACTCAAGATATAGTGTCTTTGATTCAGAGTATAGTTCCTATACACATGTAACAGATGGAAAAATTGAATATAAAGATAAGATCCCATAGGAACATCTAGCTCAACTGGCATAACAGTTTATAAAGACAATGTTCTACATTCTACCTTGGTGAGTAGTGTCTGGGGTCTTAAAAGTCTGTGAGCAGCCATCTAAGATACTCCACTGGTCTCATCCCCTCGGGAGCAAGGGAGAATGAAGAGAACAGGATACAAGGAAAAGATTAGTCCA